TGTCTGATTCACTCTTGAGTTGGCATGATAAGTTCTTGAACGAGTTTGAGCAGCGGCACGTGTGTGCAATGGCCGCACGACCGCATCTGCTCAAGTCAAAAGAAGATATCGGCCCCCTAGTCTCCGCTTCATGGGCCGCCCTGCCTCCCTCGCTGGATTCTTTGCTTGGCACGTGGTCGGATTTCTCAGCGGCATCGCCTGCAAAGGCTTGTGGCAATCTCCCGTGGCACAGCTAGACGTCTGGCAGGAGGTGATCGAAAGGACTGCCCGGGCTGCTAGTGACAAGTGCGTGGAGAAGGTCACCGATCAGTGCTGTGACATCGCCCAGAATCCTTCGGAGAAAACTGGCAACAAGAAGCAAAGCCGGGGATCGAAAGGTGAAGTCGGTTCTTCCGAGAGTGGGATCTGGATTGTTCTCTTTGTGACTGTTTGCAATTGGGGAATCACGTCGATAGGCGGCTGCATTTGGTGGGGTTGCTGTCGGCGTCGAGGGAACCCAGTGATAGAGGAGCAGCTTGAGGACGGCAGTCCAAGTAGCCCAGTTGAGCGACAAGAACTGGCTCGTCAGCAGCTGTTGGAGGTGAGACTCAGGCGACATGGCACTCGTTGATCAAAGAGTTTTCGTGCGTTACGATGTGCAAGGCCCCATCTTATGGCACGAACGCCTGGTGTTGAGTCACTTCCGGGAGGATGAGTACGCGGTAGCCACTCCCGATTCGGATGTCTTCATAGAGCAGCTTAGTGACCAAAACGTTGATCTACTTGGAGTTCGTCTTCGAGGTCCGGGAGGAGGGCTTCCAGTCGGGGTGCGTGCCTCGCAGGTGTACCTGTTACCCGCCTTCACGGCCGCGCAGAAGGCCGCGTTGGTCGCTGAAGGGGTTCGGCTTGTTGATGAGGAGAAGCAGGCGGCTCGTGCCCTCGCTGTCAACGTCGGTGTCGCTGGGGGTGGTGGGGCAGTTGCTCCGGCCATAGTTGCGGCAGGTGGTGTTACCGCTCTCCAAAGCTTTGAGCCGGGTGCCTTGTACTGGCTGGCCGCCGAGAAGGCGGGAAGCTACAGTTACGGTGAGGCTGTCCCTGGTGTGGCCGATGTCGCTTCCCCGGGGGCAAAGGCTGTGCACATCACGCCCGAGGGAGTTTCCATCTTCGTTGAATGTGTGAGGGGATGCGATCGCGAGGCCTTCTTGAGGAGGCCCGGTGGAAACGAGCCCAGGACTTTGTTACTAAGGATTGATGCGCTGGGAAAGGCGGAGACCACCCTGAAGGAGGCTGCGTCATCAAGCGTCGAGAAGAAGATGCTATGGGATCTCACCGGGCCTCGCACCGCGCGGTGGTGTTTGAGCTACCTCGTCACCGAGAATCTAGGACTGGAGGGTCATCATGAGCGTTTCCGCCAAGTTTGTCGCATTGATGCATCTAGCTGGGGGGTGGCCGAGCACTTTAACCTCAGCATGGTTGTCAAATATGCGATCTTGAACGACCAAGTGAATGCAGTGAACCTTCTCAGCATTGAGGTTATTTTCAGACGTCTGCAAACAATTGAATACTCATACGCCGAGAAAGCGCGGGAGCTAGAGAGCCGCTCAGTCGGCGGGAGGCTCTCTCTTGAGGAACAGCAGGTCTTTGGTGGGGTGACGCGGCTCGCGTCCACACTCATGATCTGTCCCGAGCTCCTCGAGCACGTCAAATCCGAGACTGAACGCGAAGCCACCCTGGCGAAGAACTTGCGCAAAGCGAGAGAAGAAAGAGATCTCGCCAGGCGCAAGAAAGGGCCCAAGGGTGGCTCAGATGACTAGGCCCTTCGTGGCCACTGCTGGGGAGGGAGCCGCCAGCAGTGGGCTGATTGATGGCTCCTTGCATGCTGATGATCTCAGGTCGCGTGATTTGCTGCCGCTCCCCTTTGTGGAACGAGAGGTGGCGCCACACGACGGTCTTTCTCGAGGTTGTCAGAGACGTGTTTTGCGGAGGCGCCACAGAGCCGATGAAATCAATCGGACAATCGGTGCCTTGAATTCAATGTTTGGTGGTCAAGGGGCGGGCAATGACTACGGCTCCTTGGATTACAAGCTATGTGGTGCTTCTGGTGTACAGCAGGAAGCATTGGATTTTGTCAGCAAGGCGGTATCCGCCATGGGCTCTCCGCCGGAGGGTCTTACCTGCTCAGAGGCGCTTCGGCAGCTTCGGGCAACAAGCGGCTACGTCGAGGACCAGGCGACGGGTGCCCTTGCGCCATATGTTCCCGGAAATGTTTCCTTGCCTGAAGAGGGTTGGCGTCCGATTTCGTTGGATGCCCTTTGGGGACAGGACGGGCGAGAATCCGTTGGCAGTCATGTTCAACAGCAGTTGCTGCCTGCAGATGAGGCTCGGCGTCGTTTGCGAGCCAGTGGTGTGACTAGACCTTACGGGGATCCGAGGTTGAAACATCCAAGAACTTACGGTGACTTTGTGAAGAGACTCGCCCAGTCAAACCTGGTTGACTTTTCTTCCGACCCTGGAATCGAGAACATCGCCTTGTTTTTCGTCACCAAGAAGAGTGGTTCCCTGAGAATGATCGTTGATGCGAGGCGAAGTAACTGTCATTTCCGGGAGCCTGATCATGTGTCGTTATGTACTGGAGAAGGGTTGGCACACATTGAAGTTGAGGAGGGTGAGGAACTCCAAATTTGCAGCGCTGATCTTAAAGACGCGTTCTACCACCTGGAGTTGCCTTTTGCGCTACGCCCTTACTTTACTATGCCTCCCATCGATGGTAAATATCTTGGCGGGTGTCCGGGAGTTGAAGTTCAGCCGGGGCGTCGGTATTTTCCTCGTCTGTGTGTGGTCCCGATGGGGTGGTCATGGGCTTTGTATGTCTGCCAGGCTCTTCACGAACATGTCGTTGCTCGTGCGGGACTCGGAGATCTTGGTCGCATTCAGGACAAACGGCCATGCCCCTCATCGACATGTATGCACACTGAATACGTAGATAACCTCATCGTCCTTGGGAGCGACAAACAGAAAGTGATCAGTGCCTATCAGCATGCTGTTCACGAACTGAAGTCAGCGGGGCTCCAAGTGCACGAGGAGGAAATCCATGGAGGAGAAGCTTGCATCCTCGGCTGGGAGATCTCGAAGGCCGGGTGTCTCAGACCGTCAAGAAAGAGAGTTTGGAAGACAAGGTTGGCTGTCAGGGGCATCCTGGCAAAGGGTCGGGGGAGTGCGCGTCAGCTTGAGAGGCTAGTCGGGCACATGACTTTCATCAGCTTAGCCAGGCGGGAATCCCTGTCTGTGCTTGGAAGCATCTACAAGTTCATTGGACGACATTATTCACATGAACGTGAAGTAGGTCTGCCAAAGCAAGTTCGGTGGGAGCTTAGCGCTTGGGATGGACTCTTGCCCTTGATCTATCGTGACTTCACCTGCCGCTGGAGTGGAACAGTGCATGCAGTTGATGCTTCTGAGTGGGGCTTGGGAGTCACTCAAGCAGAGTTGCCTGTAAGCCAAGTCAAAGATGTTGGGCAGTACTCTGAAAGGTGGAGGTTCAAAGATCCATCCTTTCGCAGAGCTCGTCGCCAGGTTTTTGTGGGAGATGAAGATAGTGACCCCGGAGCTGAGGACAAGTTGCTAGTCACAGAGTCTGCTGAGTGCGATGTCGGTCAGAAGTGTCACTTCGAGGCTATCGGGATTGACATGATGAGGCGCAAGTGGCGAACAATAGGGAGTCACCGTTGGCGCAGGAGTATCACTCTGCCCGTCGCGGAGGCGCGGGCCACCCTGTATGCCGTGAAGCATATATTGCGGTCCCGGCACGGTTTTGGGCAAAAGCATCTTATTTTCACCGACTCGATGACTGCAGCCTGCGCATTATCTAGAGGTCGCTCTCCTACATATGCCCTAAGACGAGTGTGTCAACAAGTAGCTGCTTTGGCTCTTTGCTCAGGGACCTCTTTCCATTTGAGATGGGTTCCATCAGAGTACAACCCGGCGGACAATCCATCGCGGGGAGTTTGGTGCCCTTCTGAGCCCCGTGAGGTTTTGTGGGGCCGTGATGGTGATCCATCACGGCATCAGCCTGGTGATGCCTTCGGAGGTTCAGTCCGAAAAGCGAGGGAGGAGCCGTGCGAGGTCAAGCAGGCCAGCCCCGACAGCTTCAAAAACAGAGTTGGACTGGGAGACCGTGAAAAGTTCCACCGTCCGGCGCAGCCAAGTGAAACGAAAGCGCCAAGCATCGCGAGCCGGAGCTTCAAGCGCTACTCCGGAGATGACCGTATTGGAAGAAGCCTCGGTGTCGAAGGGGACAAGGGATCGCTATGCCAAAATCTGGACAGTCCTAAAGCCCATGGTGACTGGTCGGACGGGGCGTCTCTTACCCAGGCTCAAGGTGGAGCAAATGTTGTGCGGACACTTGAAGGACATGTACATGGACGGGGAGGACGTCGCTTCTGCCCAATACACAGTGGCTGCACTTATGTTCCACAATCCTTCCCTGCGCTCCAAGGGAATGACGTCACTGCCGAGAGTGAAGCAGAGCCTCACGGGTTGGAAGCGGCTCGCCCCCGAAAAGAGCCGGCTTCCCATCCCCTTCGAGGCTCTAGCTTTAATCTTCATGTTCCTGGTGCAAAGCGGTCGATGCGAGATAGGGCTATTCCTCCTGGTCTCCTTCATGCTGTATCTCCGCCCGTCAGAAGGGCTGCGATTGAGAACACAAGATGTGGTTCGGCCGAGCCGCAAACGGGGGGCTTTCAGCTTTTGGACGTTCATTCTGCACCCTCAGGAGATGCAAATCCCTTCGAAGACTCGAGAGTTCGACGAGTCGCTTCAGCTAGACCTCGACTACCACAACGAGGTCGGGAATGCTTTAGCCAGAGTGCTCAAGTTCACAGCGAAGCAGCCGGAGGAAAAGATCTTCAAATTTGGGCTGGAGGAGGCAAACCAGGCGCTCGAAGACGCAGCCACCGCCGTTGGACTCCAGAAGCTTGGGAGTATCCATCTTTACCGTCTTCGTCATGGCGGGGCCTCCCACGATTTCGTACACAAGCTGCGAGACCTAGCCAGTATCCAGCTGCGGGGGCGGTGGAAGTCCATGGCGAGTGTTCGCAGGTACCAGAAGGGTGCCAGGCTGGCCCAGCTTTTCAACAGCCTGGACAGTGCCGTTCAAACCGAATGCTTAGACGCCGCCAAGAAGCTGCCCAGTGTCCTCCGAAGCCTGCGTTGAGCTTTTCCTCCTTTCATATCCCTGTTTTCTTGGAAATCTGTAGTGGGTCTGAGAGGCTCGGCAAGGTGATCGCGCGTCAAAACAATTGGCCCGTTTTGCTGTGGAACATTCAGTACGGCACAGCATATGATCTGAAGTTGATCGTCAACCAGTGGAAGATTCTGGGTTGGATCAGGGCCTCGAGGATTCGTGGGATCCATGTTGGTACATTGTGCAACAGTTTCTCGCGAGCTAGAGATCACCCGCCAGGTCCACCACCGCTGCGTTCTGACGAGCAGCCACTCGGACTCCCAGATCTTGGACTTCGCGATGCCCGCAAAGTTCGTGCAGGCAACGTGCTCATGAGATTCCTTGTGAAAGTTTTTAGGCTCTGTCATTTGCTTCAAGTTCCTGGCGCATTTGCAAGCCCATCCACGTCCCGAATTTGGATTTGCCCACCTGTTGCTCAGCTCCTTCGGCAGCCGCATGTGCGACAGGTGACGGTTGAGTACTGTCGATTTGGGACGCCTTGGCGAAAATCTATTACTTTTCTTTCTTTGGGGTTGTCTCTTGAGCTGCTTGAAAATCGACGCTGCTTGGGACCCAAGAGAGGGCTTTGTCAGCGGACCTCTCTACCCCATGTACCTCTTGTCGGCACTGGTGCCCGGGGCCTTCTGGTGACGTCAGCTGCAGCGCCTTATCCAGTACCTCTATGTCGACTGTTGGCTCAGAGTTTCATGAACCACGAGTTGTTTACCATTGCAAAGCAGTTCGAGTTGCGGCTTCGCCAGTGAGCACGTGCTGTCATGGGATAACGAAGTTTCGAATAGTGTGAAGAGTTGAATTTCAGAAGTAGCTGCGCTCACGTGCTGGTTCGGGGGTCTGTACATTCTACAGCTCGCTGTTTGAGCTCCTTGCTCCTGCATAGCCGGAGCAGCAACATGTCACCCCACACTGGCCATGAAAACAACGTGAGCGTATCATGATAAGTTCTTGAACGAGTTTGAGCAGCGGCACGTGTGTGCAATGGCCGCACGACCGCATCTGCTCAAGTCACCCTCCCTCCCGCCCTGAGGGGGTCTGTACATTCTACAGCTCGCTGTTTGAGCTCCTTGCTCCTGCATAGCCGGTTGATCGTGGTTGTTGCATTCGCCAA